GGGGTGGGAGGAGACGGACGACGCTCGATCCTCGGTGCTCCCGGTAGCACAACTCAGCCCCCAGGCCCTCGACCACCCCCAGCCAAATGACCAGGACCAGGTAGCGCAAGTCTACAAGCAGGTCCGACGGGCTCCCTGGCCGGGAATGTGGTCTTTCTGAAACCCACGTGGGGACAAAGTTACTCAGACTCAAGTCGTCCCTCGGCAACTGCCGCCTTGACAACCAACTAGTACTGAAACTGAACTGAACTGACAGTCGTGATGGTGTTTTATTTACTTCTTCTCAATATTCAGGTAGCCAGCTCGACGCCATTCTTCTTCACGTAGTCCACGAGCTTGTCAAAGGTGCGGCACTTGTGGTGAACGTTAAAGTCGGCTCTGACCCCGAGCGGGCTCGCCTCGTCGTGGAGGAACAGCACGGGCGTGATGTCACCGGCGCACATGAGCGAGAGCCGGAGGGCTTCGATGCAGTGGTCGACGTGCGTGCGCCCCGTCTCTGGGTCCTGCAGCATGGCCGGATAGAGGTCTCCCCAGGACTGGTCGAACTTGTCCATCGGCCACGAGTACTGGCGCAACACGTTCTGGTCGCCGAGTAAGCGGCCATGGTTCCATTCGGTGGTCTGAGCCGACAACGCCGTGGCAGTGCGCGCAGCGCAGATCACGGTATGCCGAGGAGGAGAGCAAGGGAAAAGGACGTACCAGACAATGCAGTTGGTGGAAGACCTCGATCGTGGCACCGAATTGCGGATTGGCAGGGTCGCTGCCTTTGACTTGGGCGTGTCTGCCGGCCCGAGTCTGATTCAATGCCGCCACGCCCGCTGCGTCCACGCGGATGAGATGGTCTGGGAGGAGGAGCATAGGGTGTCAGTGAAGGCTGCTGCGTCATTGCTTTTTATATATATATATGTTTTTGTCGAGACATGGAGGTACTCACAGTGCCAGAGGTCGTTCCAAGCGCGCTCGCGCTCTAGAGTTGGCGGGCCGCGATACTTGGTGGACGAGTTGAATTCGTTGGCAAAGTTGCCTTCCCAGAACTCGACAGCTTCCCACATGGGCGCTGCAAGGCCAGACAGCTTCCGTTAGCGACAGATGGTTCAGACAGGCCGTAGAATGGTGTTGAACCCACAGTATGGTGAGCCCTTCTGGGCGCATTCCAGGTGTGAGGGGGATGGCCGCCGGCGAACTGCCACCGACAATAAGCATATCGACGTCAAGAGCAGGACGAGGTTGCCTAGAAATACCAGTGTCGCTTGTTTCCGCGTCCACATCGGCCGCTGGCGAAAGGGCGAGCTGGCTTCGTCCGTCGTCGGGTTGTTGTTGTTGTCGTCGGCCGGCTCGAACTTGTCCGTCGCCTCCAGGCGCTCATAACGAATTGATGCCATATCCACGGTCAGTAAAGGATGATTTTTGTGTCCAAGAGAGTAACAAGTTTTGGTTTCAACGCCAAGTTCCAAGTTGCGGTGATGAGAGGGGCCTCCCCCCCGGCCACGGCGGTCCGGAACAGCGAGATAGCTTCGTCCTGCCGGGCTCAAGACTCGGGCGGGCTAAACGATAGCGTCATGTGGTGTTATGCTCGAGTTTTAGATCTGTTTGCCACTTGGAAGGACTACGGCGTAACCGTACTCCGTAGTCTGCCAAACTTTTTCGCAAGTGGATGCAAATTAGACCCCCCCCCCCCTTTTCGATGTTTTTGTG